TTCCTATTTCCTCACACCCAACTAAATTGTTAAGCTATGTTATTGCTGGGCGACAATCGTTTACACCTCTCGCCTACAATTTTATACCTGTCTCTATCAAAAAGGGTTGACTCTATTCTTGAACAGCAGAAAAAGATATTCTATTTTTCATTCAAAATAATGCTGTTATTAAGTTTGAAACATTCTAAATCTCATACCTACATGACATTAAAATTAATGGAATAAAATAATAAAAAAAAATAAAACAAATAGCTAACTAAATTCTGCCCCTTGATTGTCGCCTCACGCAAAGGGTTGAACTAAATTATTGAATTTAGATCTTCTAAACAAATCAGAAACAAATTATTCCTTTCAACAGATTTTTGTTTTTGTGTTTATTTAATTGTTTCCTAAATATTTCAATTATTTCATGTTTAGCTAATTGACTGAACCTGCACAGTAATCTGATACTTTTTCACATTTCGCGGAATGCAGGGCCATCTGCACCCTTATTGGGATCAAGTGGACGCTGACGCTGGGAACCTGTCGACTTTGGCTACGCTCTATTATCGCGCATATGTGCATTACAGTGGACCATGCCAAAGTGGCCAATTGTTGCAAACTCACTAATAAATGGCTAGACAATTGTTACAGGTGATTTCAAGTTAACAAAATTTATTTAATTCTAACTGGATGTGCTTATTAATAATATGCAGTGTACTGAAACTTGAAGATTTAAAATTGAACCTTCATTTAATTTTAAAAAACAAGAGAAAGCATCACAAGATCAAATATTCATATTGTTATTACGCTTTGACTTGTAATTAAGGTTATTTGACTAAAATTGACGATTGAAATTACTTTAACAGTCGTTGAAAAGGAATATTTTAAACACTGCACTAAAACCACTATGCATCTGGACGATTGGACACACCCCTAATCTTTAACACGACGCAATACTTATTAAGTGGATTTTGTAGCTTTTACGATTTCCAGAAATCCCTAACATTTTTTTGTGGCGCCGTGTGCAACCGAAATTCTGAGAAAGAAAAAATCTGGTCCTACGCTAACATGCATACAAAATTTCTTAAAGTGACCCATGACAGATATTTTCCAGATCTACGAAACACATGTGTGTTTGCTTAAAATTTCAAGTCGTAACGTGCAACATATGTATTTTTTCTCAAAAGGAGATCAAATAATCGCACTATTAATTGATTGGCCGCTCGATATAATTAAAATATACTGGCGCTTACCACAGTACCAACTTGGCTCTTACTCTCAGATATCGACATTTCGAAAATGGACATCTTAAATATGGAACCCCGCTTATTGTTTCTCAAAATAACGGAAGCATAAACCAGGAATTTAAAATATGGGAAGATTTACCTTCATCAACCTATTAAAGTGTTCGTCATATTCTGTGTTATCTTTGTATATTTGCATGTTGTGTGTATTATGAACTTAACTCTAACCTAGCAAAACAATGTTATATTTATTTAGTGTTAATACAGGATTTTAAATATAAAATATAAATATAATACAACTTTTGTATTTAAATGCACTATGTCCACTACAAAGGACCTCCATTAGTCAACTCGAATTGTTGATCTTCTCCAAAATTCTCACCAGATACTATGTAGACAAAATTTTCTGCGTAAAATGGGTACTGGTCGACCCTTATACCATAATTAAATAAACCACCGTTCATAACAGTGCCATCACCATTGATACAAAATTCTTGATAGACGCTGCTTTTAAACCATATCAAAGTAAAATTGACTTCATTGTCGTAGCCATGCTCAACTACCTGAAGAAAACCCAGTACCCTCCTGAAGTAGTACTGCTTGATTAGGTGAACTGGGAAACATTTAACTTACTCTGTGTAGGTACTGATGATCTTAAACAATCCAGTCCTACTAGCAGGTTTTATCCTGAATTGCTCATATCTTGCTGAACTGTTATATGGTTGAATCCTGATGCCTTTATTGTCACTTGCGTCCAAAACTAAATCAGAAACCTTGTGATGGAAAGATTCTGGTTGACGTTAATCTGATGTTTAATGAGTGTTTGTTTTTTTATTGTATAAGACTCTTATTAAGAAAAAATGGACAAAATACAAACCCCGCCCACCCACCCCTTCTCAATTGTGATGAATGTTTTATTCATTGTGAGCTGAAGGGCGGAGTTTACTTGCAAAATCCTCATTTCTCTACAAGAAATTACCATATGAAATTCATCACAATTGAGATTAGGGTGGGCGGGTGGGGCTTAATCTTTGTTTTTTTTTTTAATATATAGAGTTTTCTTTCAACAACAGGAAAGTTTAACATGTTTTCAGTTTCTTTTTGGGAAAAGAAGACTTGGTATATTAAGAAAAAATGGACAAAATACAAGCCCCGCCCACCCACCCCTTCTCAATTATGATGAATGTTTTATTCATCGTGAGCTGAAGGGCGGAGTTTACTTGCAAAATCCTCGTTTCTGAATTCATCATACAATGAATCGAATATTTTATGTCGCAACCATAAGAAAGAACAGGAAGTAAGAATAAAAAATAATTGGTTTTGGAATTTTTTTATGAATGCTTTGCTCAAGTTCTCTTAGTACGTATAGACCGTTTATTGAAAATTGCGATGAGTAGTGGCATCATAACGTAAAAGTAAAATTTGAATTAGATAACTTTTATCAACCACACAAAGAACAATGATAAAAATCTTAGAACATATGCGTCTAGCTCTACGCTTATGCAATAAAACGATAGCCACTGAAGCATCAAATAAAAAGCACACTTGAAATCTTGATGAGTAATGATTGAGTGTTATAAATTCCAATTCTGCCTGCGTATAAATAAATCACGATTTAAGTGATGTCTCACTTCTTAACTAAAATGGCGTCTTTCAAATTGTATTATCTCGCGATATTGGTGATATCTTACTAATACTTTTATTTTTAGGTTAATTATTTTGTTTGAGGGGCTCTCTGTGAATATTGGGGTCGTTCTGAGCGACTGCAGTAGCCTTGACAAAATGTTCTACATACAGCATAAAGGAAAATATTTCAAAATTTTCTTCGCTTTGCTTCAAGCACATTCTACCTCCTCCCTCCTCTTTTTGTTTGTAAAAATATTCTGGAGCATTTCTTAATTTTTGGTGATCTGAATACTGTAGTTGCCTGTTTCACCGGAAAATATTTTCCTGTTTTTTTTTTAAACTTGACCCTTTCCGTCTTCTTACGATGATTTTTGAGGCGAAAATTTCTAGAAATTCGAATGTACGTCTTTAGTCAGCTTCAGTTATTATTTTTAAATATTTCTTCGTTTCTTCTCGATGATTCTTCTAATAAGTTGATTCAATTTCCAAATGTTGTATAATTTTGAGGAAACTTCTGGTTCTTATTTCTTTGTTGATAGCGAATCTGTTTTGTCTGATTCTAGTATGCTAGAATGGCACTTCTTCTTAATGAAAAACTCTACAACCTTGTTTTCTTTTTCCAAATTGAATCATTTCCTACCTGGGTCATAAAAAACTATTTTTCTAAAAGCTGACTAAAAGGGTATCTCGTTTCCAAATGACTTCTTTCTTCAACGAACTTCATAATCTCACATTAAATTGCTTTTTCTTTGAACTTCACTTTCCAAGTGGAGAAATGTTTCTATAAATATGTTCCACAGGCAAGAATTCTTCATCTTTTACGAATATTTCTAGTTTGCGTTTTCATAAAATAAAAATATGCCTTTAATCAACATTGTGTTATCTTGATTGCGGCCCCATGGTCAAAAGTTTCTAAAATTTAATTTATTAGGTCAAATATTTATTGAGGCGATTAGTTAAAGAGGTAGCAGATAGTAGGCATTGATAAAATTATCACTCGACAGGATTATAATCGAATCACCTACACAAAATTTGTTTGTAAATGATTAAGTATGGAGTTATATATCGTATATATATTATTAAGAAGATAGAAAATTTTGTGATCCAACTAATTGTTCTCGAGCACCAGAGATTAGTACCGTATCACATTATTACCATGTATGTACTTTCAATTCAAGAAGATTTTTTGAACCTGAAATAAATTATCAAATCTGTATATCTATTGTATCAAATTCGTGGAGATTTTTCAGGGCCTTGTCTATAACCTGTTCTACAATTTGGATAAAAATTCTAATCCAGTTTCGGCTTTGGGTCATAAATTTAAGCCAATCTCACAAAATCTTTAAAAACCGACTGATGGCATTGACCAAGATTAATCTGTTCGTATATAAACCCACCACAGAAATACTCTAGCAGTATTGTTCCGAATACACTTCTAAGAACACAACAAAAATGGCACCTAAATGGTAAGTTTCAAAACATAACTTTTTTAATTTTTTTATAAAACATTCTAATTTTAGCTTCTCGATGTATTTGCTTTCTCTCATTCTTGCAATAAATATTGTTGCAATAATGGCCACCCACACCCATTATGGCCCAAACAAAGTTTATACCATTCGTCCCCTGCATGATAAAACTGTGGCTCTACATACTCGTGATTCATCACAAGTTCAGTTGCAAATATACAGCCACGGGAAAGCCTTCTCGCTCTTCCATATTCAACCCCGACACGAATACTTCTACCTAGTTAGTGAACCAACAGGGTAATATATCTGACATAAAGTATCTATACATTTTCAATAACATTGCTTAAACTATTTAGAGAAGTAATGGACGTTCATAGAAGAACTAATTCCGTTATCATGAGTTCAAGAAATGGGTCTCCTACGCAGTTGTGGTACTTGACACATGATCATCATATTTTTAATGTAGGTACCAACTTGGTTCTTACTCTCAGATATCGACATTTCGAAAATGGACATCTTAAATATGGAACCCCGCTTATTGTTTCTCAAAATAACGGAAGCATAAACCAGGAATTTAAAATATGGAAAGATTTACCTTCATCAACCTATTAAGGTGTTCGTCATATTCTGTGTTATCTTTGTATATTTGCATGTTGTGTGTATTATGAACTTAACTCTAACCTAGCAAAATAATCTTATATTTATTTAATGTTAATACAGGATTTTAAATACCAAATATAAATATAATACAACTTCTGTATTTAAGTGCATTTTGTCCACTATAAGGGACCTCCATTAGTCAACTCGAATTGTTGATCTTCTCCAAAATTCTCACCAGATGCTATGTAGACAAAATTGCCTGCGTAAAATGGGTTCTGGTCAACCATTATACCGTAATTATAGAAACCACCATTCATAATAGTGCCATCACCATTGATAAAAAATTCTTGATAAACGCTGCTTTCAAACCATATCAAAGTAAAATTGACTTCATTATTGTAACCATGCTCACCTACCGGAAGATAATCTAGTGCCCTCCTATAAAAGTACTGTCTTGATTAAGTGAACTGCGAAGAATTCAACTCACTCTGTATAGGTATTGATGATGTTAAACAATCCAGTCCTACTAGCAGGTTTTATCCTGAATTGCTGATATCTTGCAGAACTATTATAAGGCTGAATCCTGATGCCTTTATTGTCGCTTGCGTCTAACACCAAACCAGAAACCTTATTCCTGATGTAGAAGTACTGATCTAAAGAGCTGCAGTCACTCAGCACGGTGACAACCGTTGTACATAAAACTACAGAGAATAGAAAAACCACCTCATCATTTTCGTTCAAAGTGCTACAACTCGAAAATAAACACAAGTGATAATTGTATCTCTAATATATAGCCAGTGTTATCTAGTACTCATAACAGTCATAACTATTTTGACTGAGAATTGCGTCAGATCGTTCCATTTCAATAAGTGGACTTACATTGTGATTTGTGTTTTTATTTTTCCGAAATTTGAAGTAGTCACAAGAGATTGCATCAGAATCAATCCAAACAACAGATAAAATCTTGGCCACTTTACTTTTAATGACAAGTGGCTATATAAGCAACAAATGAACAACGCTGACTATTGATATAGTATCTGACAGAGCCAACGATGCAGCTTCAAGTTACAACGTACGTATCCACGCTAACAGCGTTTTTTTTAACCAAAATTTTAGTTTCTGGGCACTTTTGCTTGTGGGTACCACAAGCACCACTTTCGCTGCTGATTGTAGCAATCTGGATCAAAACATCGTCATCAGAAGCCACAAGTCAGGGTTGGTTTTAGTCGCTGATGAAGTGTTGAACATTATAACTCTGCAAGTTTATGACCGGTCGGTTAGCCAACGGTTCCATTTTCAACCTGGTGTGACCCTCGCATCTTTCAATATTATTAGTAACAGCACAGGGTAGGTATACAGGGTTGTCGAATAGTTTAATTTTGAGCAACGTTTTAGGTTAGCTTTGGACATCATTGAGAATGCGAGTCTCTATGTTGCAACTTTGACTGAACTTAATGATTTGAAAAGTCAAGAGTTTTACATTAATTCAGATGGTGCTATTGTCAGTGGTGCCTTTCCAGATTATGCTTTGGGTGTAAGGAATGGCGATTTTACCCCGGGAAGCTACATAGTGCTGACTCCACATACAGAGGAGAATGTTGAAAGTGAACAGTTTTCGCTGGAATTTTCGCAGAGTTGAAGCATGATTTTATTTTAGTATGTTAAGAATATTGTAATTGTAATGTCAATAAACCTACAGTTGTTATAAATAATGTCGTTATTTTAGTAGTTATATCATGCGATTTAAGCTGAAAGCAAACTAGATTACAAAAAAAAAACATTAAAATTTTGAACAAGCGCCAAAAATATCAAAATTCTGCAATGGAAGTTTCCCACTTCTGCTAATGCCTTAAAAAGTTGCAAATTTACCAGTTTTCTATTGTCTAATTTAAGTAACATGACGTCATTTTTAACTTACAGTGAGCTTGCACGTTTTTGACCATTGTACTTGTACTACAGACGCCAATAAGTTCACAGGTACTTAAGTTAATCCAAACAAAGGCCACTTGTCGGTTTAATGCGTCTTTCTATGTGACAGATAGCTGATCGGAAGTATCTGGTTGACGTTAATCAGGTCTACGTTGAGTGTTTGTAATTTTATTATATAAGACTCTTAAGTACTGTGTCTGATTTCATCATACAATGAATCGAATATTTTATGACGAAATTTTCTTTTCGTTTTCATGTGGAAAGTCATACAATGTTAGTAGTATTTTTTCTAGGTAGAAAAGATACATATCTAACTGGAAAAAAATGCGCTGGAGACAATAACAACCAGAAGAAAGAAAAGAAAGTAAGAATAAAAATATTGCTATTGAAATTTGCTTCATAACGTAAAAATAAAATTTGGATTAGATAACTTTTATCAACCAGACAAAAAACAATAATAAAAATCTCAAAACAAATGCGTCTAGTTCTAGGCTAATGCAATCAAATGATAGCTACTTGAAACATCAAATAAAAAGCACACTTGACGAGTTCTGATTCTATCTCAGTATAAATAGATTCCATTTTGAACTGATTCCTCATTCTGAACTAAAATGGGGTCTTTCACAATGTATTGTCCGCGATATTGGTGATGTTTTAATAATACTTTTATTTTTAGGTTAATTATTTTGTTTATGGGGCTTTCCATGAACATTGGGTTCGTTCTGAGTGACTGCAGCAGCCTTGACAAAATGTTCTACATACAGCATAAAGGAACCCGACTTGTTCTAGCTAGCCGTGGTTGGGACGTAGGTTTTGAACCTTATGACCCTAGTATATATTATGCACAGTATCAACAATGGAATGTTAAGGTTTCTCCCAGAACTGGATTGTTTATCATTCAGGTCAGGTACTCAGTGTAAGTTTTGACATTGTATTAAATTAAAAAATTAGGAAAATTTTTATTTTAGCGGGGCGCTCGATTTTGACAAAGAGACTTACGAAGTTGCCCGATATGATGAAACTGACTCCATTTATCAAGAATGGTTTTTAAATTCAGATGGTACTATTGTTAATGGTGCTCTGAGTGGGTATGCGATTACAGTAAATAGTACTTCCTTCGGTGACATCGACAAGATTTATCTGGCGCCTCTTGGAGAACCGGGGGCAGACCAACTTTTCGAATTGTTTTACGCAGATGAAATTGAAAAACAATTCGTTTCTTAAAAAATTATTGATTTAGTAAACTGTATTTTAAAACATGAATACCAAATAAACTTTATTTTTTGTTTATTGTTAGTTATTATTTGAGACGTCCAAGGAATATAGTGGAAACCACTTGTAGTACCAACACAAACGACTAAAACTTACACCACATGTTCACAATTTTTTTTTTTATTTATTGTTTAGGTTCAACCACACAAAAAAATCGTACTTATAACAACAATACGCATCAGCTGATGCAATCAAAATGATGTCTACTTAAAACAGCAAATAAAAAAATACTTGAACTCTCGACAAATTATGAATCAAATTATAAATTATGAGGTTAATCTCAGTATAAATAGGTTTCATTTGAAACCGATTCCTCACTTCACAATTAAGATGTCAACTTTTAAAAAGTATTATTTCAGGATAGTGTATGGTAGTATAATATTATTATTTATCGTTCACATACAGTATTCAATGTAAGTTTTGACATAGTACTAAACTGAAGAAAAAAAGAGTGATTTTAGGGGTGCACTCAATTTTGACAAAGATACTTACGAACTGGCCCGGTATGACGAAACTGACTCCATTTATCAAGAATGGTTTTTTAATGGAGATGGTACTATTGTTAATGGTGCTTTGTATGGGCATGCGATTTCAATAAACAGGACAGAGTTCGGTGAGATAGAAAAATTTATTAATTTTAATTACATAGTAAACTGTATTGTAATATTACTAAATACTATAAATGATATAAAATATACAAAAATGAATGATGCAATAAATCTGTACACTAAATAAAACAAAAACACTCGAACTTTCAACAACTCAGATTAAATATTTTGCTAATCTTAGCAAGTATATAAGACTTGAGTATCGACGAGTACTCTATAAACTAAAGTAAAATGACTTCCTCTAAACGGTTCTAACTTGTACCGCAAATTAAAGAAAAAAGTGTTGTTATTTTGTTTATTGTTTTAGATTACTTACCATATTCGTGCTTATTTCTTTAAACATCGCCTGTACTCTAAGTGCCTGTGACACCCTGGACCGGTACTTTTACATACGACATAAAGCAAGTGGTCTTGTTCTAGCTAGTCGTAACCAGAACGTAGGTTTAGAAGCCTATGACCCTAGCATTTATTATCAGCAGTACCAACAATGGAGATTTTTGCTTGCCCCGAGGACTGGACTATATATCATTCATGTAAAGTTTTCAGTGTAAGGATTAATTTACCTTAGGTTATACTTATAAATTAGTATTAATTCGATTATTTTTAGGGGCGCTCTAGATTTTAATAAAGACAATTACGCCATTACTCGATACGATGAAGTCGATTCTATTTATCAGCAGTGGTTTGTAAATGGAGATGGTACTATTGTTAATGGGGCTGTGTATGGGTATGGACTTACAGTTAACAGGACGGCATGGGATGCTGATAATACGTTGTTTTTGGGGCCAGTTGTAGCTGGCAGTGAGGATCATATTTTTGAATTGATTACAGCAGACAGTTATTATAAGTTGTTAGAAAAATAGGTTCATATTGTTAGCCAACTCATTTTAAATAAATGTTTTAAAATTATTTTCTGTTTTAATAGTGCTTCGCTGCATAGTGTATGAGTTTGTAAATTCAAACAAATTTTTCTCTTAATAAAAAACGCAAGACTGACATTTTTTATTATTATTATCTATATATATAAAAATGGATGTTGGTATATATATCTGTGATCGATAGACTCCGAAATCGCTTGACCGATCACCATGAAATTTGGTACATGTAAGTGGTTTTTCATGGAGAAGGTTTTTGTGGTATCCGCTTTGCTGTAACTAGCCACTAGATGGCGCTACAGCGCATCAACTTCTACACCGTTCAACCGATTCTCAGAAAAATTGGTACACGTTGCCATTTGACTATGGAGAATATTTTCGCCCTATCCATTTTGCTGTAACTCGCCACTAGATGGCGCTGCAACACATCAACTTCTGTACCAATCAACCGATCCTCATGAAAATTGATATACGTTGGTATTTGACCATGGAGAATATTTTCGCGCTATCGATTTTGCTGTAACTTGCCACTAGATGGCACTGCAGCACATCAACCTCTCTGTTAAAGTATTATGAACTTAGAGAATCAGCGGCACCCATATATCTAATACTACTATATTGCTATCAGGCCTCAAAAGAGTCCGAAAACACAACGGCAGAGCAATATATCGGACCTCTTTGTCTCTCTATAGTACCAAACAGTACTGCTCATATACTCGTACTTGCTTGATTTTTAGTCGATAACGTGACTAGATGTGTTTTGACATTTCATACGTTCGCTTCTATTTTGTGTACGTGCGCACAGACCCTCGGTACTTTTCTAGACAGAAAACAATATCTTCCGTCTCCCTTTGTCCGTGAACACCGTTTCTATGTTACTTCTGAAGAGTTAGCAAGTATTAGATATATGGCGGGACCAATGACAACATTGTTTTCGTTGGTATTACAACAAAAATCGTATTGACCGCAAAAGAAAATAATTAGTGATGTTCACTGTCTATAATCCTCAGTAATAACAAAAAGTGAATTACTAGAGATTATTGAAAATGCCACCCAAAAAATCAAACATTGGAAGATCAACCAGACATGCGCAGCAAGTGGCAGCCAGTAGAGCTGGTCAAACCTTTGAAATACGAAACACGCGACTGGAAACTGACCGGATCAGGGCCTCTATTTCAAGAATTGCCAAAACACCCGAAGAGCGAGACTCACGAATTGAAAACCTGCGGGTACGAGCGTCTACGTCAAGAGCTACCGAAACATCTGAAGAGCGAGATGCACGAGTTGAAAACTTGCGAGTGCGAGCTTCTACGTCAAGAGCTGCCGAAACATCACAACAGCATGACGTACGTGTTTAAGATCTTCGAGCAAGAGCGTCTGCGTCAAGAGCTTCTGCAACACCAGAAGAGCGAGACACACGACGTGAAGCAGAACGCTCACGGCAGACTCGATCAAGAACAAGAATCGATCTCAAGAAAACAGCGTTCAATTACGATATGACTACAAAATGCATCGCGATGTTGTCATTGGTCCGATGACTAAATTGTGTCTACACTGTCGCACTTTGAAGTTTCAAAAAGAAGCGCCTGGCATGTGTTGCTCCAACCTCAAAATCAGTTTGCCACCACTGACTGAACCACCAGAACCACTGCTCACTTACGTTGCTGGAGTTACTCGGGAGTCCAAACACTTTCTACAGCATATTCGGAAATACAACTCATGCTTTCAGATGACATCGTTTGGAGCGACGAATATTGTAAGATATAATAATTTTATGCCCACATTTAAAGTGCAAGGACAAGTGTATCATCAGATTGGTACACTCCTTCCAGTATCCAAAGAAGATCCGCAATTTTTGCAAATTTATTTCATGGACAATGTGGAGAAGGAGATTGATCGACGATGCGCATTTAGTGTAGCAACATCGAAAGATTATTGCTGAATTACGAGCATTATTCCACGAGCACAACTATTTGGTCCGAGATTTCAAATCCGCATTGGAGAATGTAAGAGCGATGACTTCAAACTCATTATCAGAGCAGACAAAACCCCATCGAATGAGCATGAAAGACGCTTCAATGCTCCAATAGCCCCTGAAGTAGCAGCTGTAATTGTCGGTACAGAAATTACTCGGCGACATATTGTTATCAGCAGGCGAAATCAAACCAAGCAACGTATTGCTGAAACACATCGATCGTACGACGCACTTCAATATCCAATTCTATTTCCGCGAAGAGAAGACGGTTATCATCTCGAATTGTATCAAACTTATCCCGTCACAGGTGCTGCGACAACGAAAAAAGTCAGTTGTATGGATTTTTATGCATATCGTATCATGATTCGAGTCAAACAATCCAACCATATCTTAAAGTGTCGTCACGTTTTTCAACAATTCATCGTTGATATGTACGCCAAAGTCGAAAGCGAACGACTCAATTACATTCGTTACAATCAATAGAAGCTTCAAGTCGAAGATTATATTCATTTGCGAGATGCAATCGCGAATGATGGAACAATTGGTAACATTGGACAAACGGTTATACTTCCAGCTTCGTATACTGGAAGTCCAAGACATATGCAAGAATATGCTCAGGATTCTCTGACATATGTTCGCAGATATGGACGTCCAGATCTTTTCATCACGTTCACATGCAATCCATCTTGGTGTGAAATCAAATATTTACTTTTGCCTGGCCAACAACCATCTGATCAGCATGACCTCACAGCGAGAGTTTTCAAACAAAAATTGATACGTTTTATGGATCTCATCACTAAGAACCATATATATGGAGAAACTCGCTGTTGGATGTATTCCATCGAATGGCAGAAAAGTGGTCTACCACATGCTCATATCTTAATTTGGTTGGTTGAAAAAATTGTTCCAACTCAAATTGATGATATCATTACTGCTGAGCTGCCCAACGCAGAAGAAGATCCAGAATTATTTGAAATTGTGAAAAAAAATATGATTCACGGACCATGTGGGGGACACAACCCACACTCGCCATGCATGAAAGACGGAAAATGCACCAAAAAGTATCCACGCCAGCTGCTGCAAGAAACACAAACTGGTGGCGACGGTTATTCGTTGTACAGACGACGAAAACCAGATGATGGAGGATACACCACAACTATCAAAATCAATAACGTTGATTTCGAAGTTGATAACCGATGGATTGTGCCCTACTCTCCTATCCTTTCGAAATCATTCAATGCACATATCAACGTGGAGTCCTGTAATTCAGTTAAGTCAATAAAATACATATGTAAATACGTGAATAAAGGCAGCGATATGGCAATTTTCGGAATTGCGAATCCCAATGAGCCCGTCAATGAAATTGAGCAATTTCAAATGGGACGTTATAATAGCAGTAATGAAGCTGTATGGAGAATTCTTGGCTTCGACATTCATGAACGCTTTCCTGCTGTCATGCATCTCAGTGTTCACCACAACGCACCCCAACGAGTTGCAGATCCACCAAATACAACGTTGACCGCTTTTTTCCAATTGTGTGCAACTGACGAATTCGCAAAAACATTAATGTATCACGAAGTCCCGCAGTTCTACACTTGGAATCAATCGACGAAGAAATTTTGCAGAAGAAAACGAGGCGCCAGGCATTCTTCTATAGCTGGCATATTTTCTACTGGTGCACTGGGAAGAGTATATACTGTTCATCCAAATAATGGTGAATGCTACTATTTGCGAATGCTGCTTCACGTGGTCAAAGAACCAACATCGTTTCAAGCAATCAAAACAATCGATGGTCAAGAGTGTGAGACATACAGAGAAGCATGTTTTAAACTTGGTTTGCTTGAAAATGATCAACGTTGGGACAACACATTAGCAGAAGCATCTGAGACACGTCATGCCCATCAAATACGAACTCTGTTTGCCATAATTTTGACAACCTGCGCACCTTCTGATCCGAAAGGTTTATGGGAAAAACACAAAGAGAGTATGAGCGAAGACATACTTCTCCGAGCACGCAGAAATAATCTCGGCTTGGATGTACAGTATTCGGAAGACATTTTCAATGAAGCACTGATATCACTTGAAGATGTGTGTATGTCGATTAACAACAAAATCCTCAATCAGCTTGGGCTGTTTTCATCGGAACGTGACAGAAACGATGTTATCGATAGAGACGCATTGCGAGAAAAACAATACGACGTCGATGCACTACAAGTTTATGTTGAAACTCAGAAAAGATTCTTAACAAACGATCAACGACTTGCATACGACACAATTATGCGCTCCAGACCATACATTTATATCCACATATATACAAAGTAAATATATACACAAGCAGGACAACGTCTGCCGGGTTCCGCTAGTAAAATATAAATATAATACAACTTTTGTATTTAAATGCACTATGTCCACTATAAAGGACCTCCATTAGTCAACTCGAATTGTTGATCTTCTCCAAAATTGTCACCAGATACTATGTAGACAAAATTTTCTGCGTAAAATGGATACTGGTCGACCCTTATACCGTAATTAAATAAACCACCGTTCATAACAGTGCCATCACCTTTGATACAAAATTCTTGATAGACGCTGCTTTTAAACCATATCAAAGTAAAATTGACTTCATTGTCGTAGCCATGCTCACCTACCTGAAGAAAACCCAGTGCCCTCCTGAAGTAGTACTGCTTGATTAAGTGAACTGGGAAAGATTCAACTTACTTTGTGTAGGTACTGATGATGTTAAACAATCCAGTCCCACTAGCAGGTTTTATTCTGAATTGCTGATATCTTGCTGAACTGCTATAGGGTTGAATCCTGATGCCTTTATTGTCACTTGCGTCCAAAACTAAATCAGAAACCTTGTGATCGAAAGAATCTGGTTGACGTTAATCTGATGTTTAATGATTGTTTGTTTTTTTATTGTATAATACTCTTAAGTACCAACCTACTGTCTCTGATTTCATCATACAATGAATCGCCCCTTCTCAATTGTGACGAATGTTTTATTCACCGTGAGCTGCAGGGCGGAGTTTACTTGCAAAATCCTAATTTCTCTACAAGAAATGACCATATGAAATTCATCACAATTGAGACTGGGGTGGGTGGGTGGGGCTTAATCTTTTTTTTTTTAATATATGTATATAGAGTTTTCTTTCAACAACAGGATAGTTAACCATGTTTTCAGTTTCTTTTTGTCAAAAGAAGACTTGGTATATTAAGAAAAAATGTACAAAACGCAAGCCCCGCCCACCCACCACTTCTCAATTGTGACGAATGTTTTATTCACCGTGAGCTGAAGGACGGAATTTATTTGCAAAATTCTCATTTCTCTACAAGAAATTACCATATGAAATTCATCACAATTGAGATTGGAGTAGGTGGGTGGGGCTTAATCTTTGTTTTTGTTTAATATATACAGGGTGTTATTGAAAGGTACGTACAACAAAATTGACAGTTCTTCGCGAAATCTAAGAAGCCTGAAAAACTTATTTTGTGTTATCAAAATTATAAGGAGAAAATTAACCCTTATCCAACCTTTTTAGACGCTACTGAAGGATAAATAGGTAAAATTAATTTATTTTAGTAAATCCTAGCAACTGTAACAATAAAACTTTTGCCAAGACTAAATGTTGCTCTAGAAACGAGAGATGATCTTTTTATCAGAGGAGTACAACGAATTTGGACATAAATTTTAATAATTTTTATCTCTGAAAGAAGAACAATTTTACCTGTACTTTTTTTAACTTCTAGCACCCATACTTCGAGATCAATTACCGATTCTATTTTGTACGTACCTTTCAATAATACGCTGCATAGAGTTTTCTTTCAACAACAGGATAGTTAACAATATTTTCAGTTTCTTTTGGAAAAAGAAGACTTGGTATATTAAGAAAAAATGGACAAAATACAAGCCCCGCCCACACACCCCTTCTCAATTGTGCCGAATGTTTTATTCATCGTGAGCTGAAGGGCGGAGTTTACTTGCAAAATTCTCATTTCTCTACGACAAATTACCATATGAAATTCATCACAGTTGAGATTGGGGTGGGTGGGTGGGGCTTAAGAAGTGTTTTTTTAATATATAGAGTTTTCTTCTTTCAATAACAGGATAGTTAACAATACTTTCAGTTTCTTTTTGAGAAAAGAAGACTTGATATATTAAGATAAACTGGACAAAATACAAACCCATCCCACCCACCCCTTCTCAATTGTGATGAATGTTTTATTCATTGTGAGCTGAAGGGCGGAGTTTACTTGCAAAATCCTCATTTCTCGACAAGAAATTACCATATGAAATTCATCACAATTGAGATTAGGGTAGGCGGGTGGGGCTTAATCTTTGTTTTTTTTTTTAATATATAGAGTTTTCTTTCAACAACAGGAAAATTAAACATGTTTTCAGTTTCTTTTTGGGAAAAGAAGACTTGGTATATTAAGAAAAAATGGACAAAATGCGAGCCCCGCCCACCCACCCCTTCTCAATTGTGATGAATGTTTTATTCATCGTGAGCTGAAGGGCGGAGTTTACTTGCAAAATCCTCGTTTCTGATTTCATCATACAATGAATCGAATATTTTATGTCGCAACCATAAGAAAGAACAGGAAGTAAGAATAAAAAATAATTGCTATTGGAATTTTTTTATGAAGGCTTTGCTCAAGTTCTCTTAGCACGTATAGACCGTTTATTGAAAATTGCGATGAGTAGTGGCATCATAACGTAAAAGTAAAATTTGAATTATAGATAACTTTTATCAACCACACAAAGAACAATGATAAAAATCTTAGAACATATGCGTCTAGCTCTACGCTTATGCAATAAAACGATAGCCACTGAAGCATCAAATAAAAAGCACACTTGAAATCTTGATGAGTAATGATTGAGTGTTATAAATTCTAATTCTGCCTGCGTATAAATAAATCACGATTTAAGTGATGCCTCACTTCTTAACTAAAATGGCGTCTTTCAAATTGTATTATCTCGAAATATTGGTGATATCTTACTAATACTTTTATTTTTAGGTTAATTATTTTGTTTGGGGGGCTCTTTGTGAATATTGGGGTCGTTCTGAGCGACTGCAGTAGCCTTGACAAAATGTTCTACATACAGCATAAAGGAAAATATATATATACTTTGAACCTACGTCTTTAGTCAGCTTCAGTTATTATTTTTAAATTTTTCTTCGTTTCTTCTCGATGATTCTTCTAATAAGTTGATTCAATTTCCAAATGTTGTATAATTTTGAGGAAACTTCTGGTTCTTATTTCTTTGTTGATAGCGAATCTGTTTTGTCTGATTCTAGTACGCTAGAATGGCACTTCTTCTTAATGAAAAACTCTACAACCTTGTTTTCTTTTTCCAAATTCAATAATTTCCTACCTGGGTCATAAAAAACTATTTTTCTAAAAGCTGACTAAAAAGATTCTCGTTTCCAAATGACTTCTTTCTTCAACGAACTTCATAATCTCACATTAAATCGCTTTTTCTTTGAACTTCACTTTCCAGGTGGAGAAATGTTTCTATAAATATGTTCCACACGCAAGAATTCTTCATCTTTTACGAATATTTCTAGTTTGCGTTTTCATAAAATAAAAATATGCCTTTAATCAACATTGTGTTATCTTGATTGCGGCCCCATGGTCAAAAGTTTCTAAAATTGAATTTATTAGGTCAAATATTTATGGAGGGGATTAGTTAAAGAGGTAGCAGATAGTAGGCATTGATAAAATTATCACTCGACAGGATTATAATCGAATCACCTACACAAAATTTGTTTGTAAATGATTAAGTACGGGGTTATATATATATTATTAAGAAGATATAGAATTTTGTGATCCAACTGATTGTTCTCGAGCACCAGAGATTAGTACCGAATCACACTAGTACCATGCATGTACTTTCAATTCAAGAAGATTTTTTGAACCTGAAATAAATTATCGAATCTGTACATCTATTGTTTCAAATTCCTGGCGATTTTTCAAGGCTTTGTCCATAACCTGTTCTACAGTTTGGATTAAAATTCTAATCCAGTTTTGGCGTTGGGTCATAAATTTAATCCAATCTCACAAAATCTTGAAAAATCCACTGATGGTATTGATCAAGATTAATTTGTTCGTATATAAATCCACCACAGAAAAACTCTAGCAGTATTGTTCCGAATACACTTCTAAGAACACAACAAAAATGGCACCTAAAAGGTAAGTTTCAAAACATATATTTTTTAATTTTCTTTATAAAACATTCTAATTTTAGTTTCTCGATGTATTTGCTTTCCTTCATTGTTGCAATAAATATTGTTGCAATAATGGGTACCCATTATGACACAAACAAAGTTTATACCATTCGTCCCGTGCATGATAAAACTGTGGCTCTACATACTCGTGATTCATCACAAGTTCAGTTGCAAATATACAGTCACGGAAAAGCTTACTCGCTCTTTCATATTCAGCACAGCCGCGAAAATGGATTGTTATTCTACCTAGTTAGTGAACCAACAGGGTAATATCTGACATAAAGTATCTACACATTTTCAATAACATTGCTTAAACTATTCAGGGAAGTAATGGACTTTAATAGAAGAACTAAATCCGTTATCATGAGCTCAAGAAATGGGTCTCTTAGGCAGTTGTGGTACTTGACACATGATAATCGTATTGTTAATGCAGATACCCACTTGGCTCTTACCCTCAGATATCGACATTTCGAAAATGGACATCTTAAATATGGAACCCCGCTTATTGTTTCTCAAAATAACGGAAGCATAAACCAGGAATTTAAAATATGGGAAGATTTACCTTCATCAACCTATTAAGGTGTTCGTCATATTCTGTGTTATCTTTGTATATTTGTATGTTGTGTGTATATGAACTTAACTCTAACCTAGCAAAATAATCTTATATTTATTTAATGTTAATACAGGATTTTAAATATAAAATATAAATATAATACAACTTTTGTATTTAAATGCATTATGTCCACTATAAAGGACCTCCATTTGTCAACTCAAATTGTTGATCTTCTCCAAAATTCTCACCAGATGCTATGTAGACAAAATTTCCTGCGTAAAATGGGTTCTGGTCAACCATTATACCGTAATTATAGAAACCACCATTCATAATGGTGCCATCACCATTGATAAAAAATTCTTGATAAACGCTGCTTTCAAACCATATCAAAGTAAAATTGACTTCGTTGTCGTAGCCATGCTCACCTACCGGAAGATATCCCAGTGCCCTCCTGTAGTAGTACTGATTGATTAAGTGAACTGGCGATGATTCAACTTACTCCGTGTAGGTATTGATGTTAAACATTCCAGTCCTATTAG